AGAGCGGCTCGTGGGCCGACTCGAACGATGAACGGGGCGATGGGAGCGCGACTGCCGCAGCTTGAGGAGATTTGACTATGGAATCAATGAGCCAGAACTGGACAATGTTCATCATAATGGGGAAGACACCCATTGTACTGTGGACTGTCAGTGGCCTGTATCTCAGACTGGAACGCGAACAAGTACATACAATATGACTTGTACTGCATCACTCGGGCCGAGGTATTCAAGCAACCATTCGCCCAGCTTAAAGATACCTGGCCAGGCAGCGAAGAGCCCCACCACCAGTAGCTTCATGGTAAGTAGGGATATGACGTAGATGGCTGCTTGGCGGGCCCAGTACGTTAAGGACGGCGGCGAGCCATACTGGCCCGATTCAAAGCCTTTGAAGAGAAGCTTTTCGCTGAAGAGCCAGGTGAGGAGATGAAGCACGAAGTATATTACACCAACACCTATAAGAGAACATCTCAGCTGAGGCTGGCCATAGGACGAATGACATACCAATGGTGGTATCAATAAGAATATTAAGAAAATAGAATACACAGGCGTTCCCCGACGATACCTCGGCGACTATGCCGGAAATTAAAACATTCACGCCATGGACGACCATTTGCCCGAGGACCTGCTTCGAGACGTCGAACAACCTGTACAGCCCCAAGAAAATCCATGTCAGCAAGTCGTCCGGCAGCAAGGCTTGCACAGACAAACCATATTCGCCACGGACGTTTTGGAGTTTCCCTATGCCGTTTGTATATCAAGGACGAGATGACTAAAACACCCATGAGGCCCTGTGTGATCTACACGGATCCAAGTAAGTTCAGAGGTTATCTGCGACGACGGAAGCAGTCATACCAAAGCGGTGGGCCCCAGTAGCTGACATGACCGGCTGTCAACGTCGGGGAGATCTTCGAAAAAGCCTTCGGACATCAGCAGAGGGGAGAGAGGGAAGGAGGGTGGGGGTACCAGACAAGTCGAGATGAGCGCCGCAAGTCGCCGCCACTCTGCGAGAGGGCCAATCGCCATATGTGGCAATCCATCGCAGCCTCAGCCTTTTTCTCAGGCTCGTGAATCTCTGTCGGAAACATTGCATTTTATACAGTTCTACGGTATAATTGTGGCCAATACGGCAGCGAACAGCATCAATGTATAGCAATAACGATACAAAACATGACCAGCGAGTAATCCAACCATGCACGAGAACCAGCGAGCGACAATTGGACAGAAAGAGACACAATACGCCAGTAACGGACTTCATTTATCACTTCTTTCGCAGCTGGGCGCGGAGATTCGCATTTTCAGTCTGCATTGTATTGAGTTCCTCCAGCAGTGCCATCTGCTGAGTCTGCTGCGAGTTGCGCATCGCCTCAATCTCCTCTCTGGCTCGAGCAAGCGAGGCGTTGCACTCCGCCAGTTGGGCTTCTAGCTGCTTGCGCACAGCGGCTCCAGCGGCGATAGCATCCCCCGCCAGTACTTGGGTGCTGAGGTATTCATTCTTCTCGCTCAGCTCGCGGCAGGTCTCCGCTGCTTGTGCCTCAACTTCAGCCTTCTCCGAGGCAATGTGGCTGATCGTCTCGTGCAAATGCATCATCTCGTCCTCACTGTACACAGCCGATCAGCCAATGAATGCAATCCGCCACTAGCACTTACAGAGCCGTGTTTTTGCCCATTATGGACATGTTGCGTTCCTCGAGCATATTGACCTGCTTCTGATATGTCTCGAGCGCCATATTGCTGTCTTGAGCTAGCTTCTGCGCCCGCTCCGCGTTCTTTTTTAGTAGATCATGCGCCTGGGCGAACCGAATGAGACGCTCTATGAGTGCGCGGTCGTCCGCGACAAGAGCCTGTACTCTTGCCACAAAGCTCTCGACTGTAAATAACGCATTGCTTTGCGACGGCATCCCTCTTGGGTCATACAGCGACTTCAAGGAACGCACGTCCATCTCGGAAATCGAGGCGTTGGCACGACCTGGCACGGGACTGCTGGGTGAACCTGTCCGGAAGCTTCGAGAGCCCATCTTGCTTGCCCGTGCTTCTGGAGAAGGAAGAATAGCCCAGAGTGGCTTGAGCTGAGCAATGAGCGAAGCAGAATCCCCGGTATACTCGACAGGTGGTTGCAAGCTTGTTGCTGCCAACTGCGCTATAGATTGTTCCTAGATCCCCAACAAACATTGAGACTATGTGTTACATAGAGCAGATACACTTACTCTCAGCTGGTCTCCGAGCTCTCTCGCTTGCGTCCTTGCCTCATCCCGCGCCCGTCGCGCTTCCTCGATCTCGGCAAAGAGTGCTTCGCGCTTGTCGAGGCCTGTACGGATGTCTGCCTCCATCTTCGTTCGAATAACCGCCCACTCTTCCTCAGATCGTGAATGCGCGTCAATCTTTGTACGTAGATCCTCCAGGTGTCGTCCAACGGAGAATACAAGCCCAGTGAGAGATGCATCTCGCGAAGCCAGGAGGATCCCATGAGTCTGCATCAGGTCTCGCAACGCATCCGAACACTCGGTGAGCTGCACCTTGCTCTCTGCACCATCCAGCAGCGTTATCTTCTCCGTCTCCCATACCGCGCGATCTGCCTCCCATCCTGCTTTCGTGTCTGCCAGCTCCTTCTCCATCGCCGCCAGTTTCGCGCGGCTCTCCTCTCGCTCCTTCGCGAAAGCCGCCGCCATCTCCCCGGCCTCCCCACTTTGCTCCTCTAGTACCTCTAGCCGCCGCTCAAGAGTGTCCACTTCCCGCCGCCGCTCCTCCAGCTCTGCCTGATCCTGCAACCACAAAGCTTTCTCCTCCTCCATCGCGCGCAACTGTGCGTCCATCTCCTCCACCCTGCCTACCTCCCGCTCTAGCGCAACAATGGTATCCTCGGCCGCTTGCAAATCCATCCCGAGCGATGTTTCAACCTGTTCCTTCTCTAACCGCAGCATCGATACATCCCGTGTCATAACCGACCGCTTGCTGTTTGCCTCAGCCAACGCAAGCTCTGCTGCTTTGAGCTTCTCCTCTATTACAATGATCTCTGCCATCGTTGGCACCGACCGCGGCACCTGCGGGATGACGGTATCTGTATGGCCTGCAAAGAAGTGCTCGAATCGCCCCGGGGAAGATGCTGTCGTCATACTCGTCGCAGAGGACGGCGCGATGCTCAGCTGAGAACTACGGTTCGGCGTACTGAAACCAGAGGTGCTCGAGTCGCCATCAGCGGAAGAAGCCTTCTTCTCTAGGCTCCTCACGGAGTAGCTGAGGACACCAGCACGATGCTCGAGGAGCCTGCGCTGGATCTCATTCGCGCGCTCCGACACGCTCCATAGATCCCGCTGCGCAAGCTCGACCTTCCGGTTCGCGGCGTCGAGCTTCTCTGTCGTCTGCTTTGATACGTTCTTGTAGGACGCGTTGGCTTTAGAGAGAGATAAGGCGGCATCGCGAATCTTGGTTTCGAGCGAGAGCTTCTTGGTCATCGCAACGAGGCGTGAGGAGAGCACTTGATGCTCCTATGTATGTAGACAGTCGCATCTAGCCAACATCACAGCGAGTACAAAATACGGACCTTCTTCAGTTCCTCCACCTCTTCCGCGCCGAGGACTTCACACCCGCGGCTGTCCACGATCGCTTCACTTGCTAGAAGGCTCATGAGCAAGTCATCGCGCGTGTTGTACACCCCAGAGGCGCGTTTGGACTCTATGCTTACGCGATCCACTGGCTTTCGCGCAGCGAGCTCTGAGACACGAAGCGGGCGCGGCGACGAAGGGCCCGCACCAGGCGACGAGAGTGCTGAGACCTGACTGCGAGCAGGAGAAGTAATACCATTGGACTCGCGAGAGGAATGGGGGGAGTGGAAAGACCTGCTCGCTGAATCGTCTGAGGCAGACGTGGCCGGAAGGGGCTTTGACCGGTCTTTTCGGAGAAACAGGGCTGCGGTGGTTGTCTTCGGGCTCTCGACGGGAGGCGGATCGGCGGGACTTTGGAGAGGAGAAGGCGGCCACGAGGGCTTTGCGGATATTGCGAGAGGCGCAGTGGATGGAGAGGGAGAGACGACAGCAGTTGGGGGCGAGGGACTGGTCGGCGGTAGAGGGAATTGTTGAGAGGTCGGTGTGCCGCCAACTAGAAACCG